GCGTCTGTCTGATTCCACCTACTGTAAACTATTATTGAGCAATTATCAAATATTGGATTAAGGTTGCAATAAAGGTATAAAGAACATTCCTTCAACTTGAAGTTTTTGTTGTCTTTTGGGAAGAGAAACTATAGAACCCAATAGGCATTATATAATCAACTTCTAATTGTTATAGTATCAACTAGAATGATACAAGGATTTGAAGCTAAAAACTGTTTTTACAGCCTAAACATAGCCAATTATTGTGGTAAGTTCAAAAGACCAAGTTGTGAATTTTTAAATCTAAATACAGTAATACCTTGGTTTGTGAGCATAATTTGTTCCAGAAACAAACTACTCATATTGCAAGACATCGCTTATTTACCACGTTAAAATGTACTAGAAATGTTTGCTCGTCTTGTGGAACACTCACAAACCAAGTTACTCACAATCCAAGGTTTTACTATATCTCATATCCAATTTTGAAAAATATTCCAGATTTTATGTGTTTTGTTATAACTCATGGGTCTATCTTTAGGTAAATCACCAAAACTTATTCTTTTGTTGTATTTTATATGCAATCGGTGTCATAAACACTGCCTCAAAGCTATCACAATATCATTGTTTTTTTTTCTTTTAGCATTTTTTTTAGTAAAATATAGTTGACATACAATAGTATATTAGTTTCAGGTGTGAGCCATAGTTATTCAACATTTATATATCTAAAGAAGTGATCACCATGATAAAAGCCTAGTAACCATCTGACACAGTACACTGTTATTACAAAATTATTGACTATATTCCCTGTGCTATCCATTACATCCCCATGACTTATTTATTTTATAACTAGAAATTTGAACCTCTTATTTCCCTTCACCTCCCCTCCTTTTTAAATTTTTTTATTATAGCTGGCATTCAATATTATTTTATATTAGTTTCAGGTGTACAGCACAGTGATTAGACATTTCTGTAATTTATGAAGTGACCCCCCAATTAGTCTAGTACCCATCTGACACTATACATTGTTATTACAATATTATTGACTATATTCCCCATGCTGTATTTTACACCCTCATACTACTTTGTAACTACCACTTTGTATTTCTTAATCCCTTCACCTGTTTCACCTATCCCCTTACCCCCTCCCATTCAGTTAGTTCTCTGTATCTATGAGTCTGTTTCTGTTTTGTTGGTTTGTTTATTTTGTTCTTCTGATTCCACATATAAGTGAGATGATGTGGAATTTGTCTTTCTCTATCTGACTTATTTTACTTAGCATAATACCCTCCAGGTCCATCCATGTTGTCGCAAATGATAAGATTCCATTCTTTTTTATGGCCAAGTAATACTCCATTGTGTATATATATGTAACACAGTTTCTTTATCCAGTCATCTATTGATGGCCGCTTAGATTGCTTTCATATCTTAACTATTGTAAATAATGCTGCAATGAACATAGAGATGCAAATAGATTTTCGAATTAGTGTTTTGGATTTCTTCAGATAAATACCCAGAAGTGGAATTGCAGCATCATAAATAGTCCCATTTTTAATTATTTGCAGAAACATCATACTGATTTCCACAGTGGCTGCACCAATTTGCAATCCCATCAACAGTGCACAAGGGTTTCCTTTTCGCACATCCTTACCAACACTTGTTATTTGTTGATTTATTGATGATAGTTATTCTGACAAGTGTGATGTGATAGCTTATTGTGGTTTTAAGTAGCATTTCTCTGATGAAAAAATTAGTAGTAGCAAGAAATAATTTTACCTTGGCCTTGAAGGGACTGTAGGATGTTGATTAAGGAAAAAACTAAATTTGTCTCAGGAAGAGCTCCAAGACACAAATACAAAGAAAATTATCAGGAATACCTTCCTTGGCCTCTTCACTCTGCTATGAACTTCATAGGATATGAGAATAGGAAAAAAATGCAATCATCATGACAAAGAACTTAAAAATCCATTGAGAAAGAGTACACCGAGCTCTATCAAACACCCATAGGAATTTGAGTGAAATTCAAATTCTTAGGAAATGGCAGTTATATTTGTATAATTCTTGGCCACTTTCTAAGCGATGGGCCCATAGGTCAGTGATTTAAACATGCTGAGTCTCATTTTCTGTCTTAAAAAGGGAATATTAATATCTGGCTTATTCACTGATTAACTTGATGTGAGAATCATGACAAAATACAGGGGAAGGTTTATAAATTAAAAACTAATTTTCCTGTAATCATAAGGATAGTAACATCAGCAGCAGTCACAGCGATGGGAGCAGTATTCTGGAAAAAAAAGAGTTAAACTGGTTTTTATCCCATATACATATATATATATATATATATATATATATATATATATCTTTCTTTTATAATCCTAGCTTCCATATCAAAGAGGCCACATCTTGCTAGTATAGCAGCTCCAGACACTGAATTATTATTCCAAACA